TCAAACACCTCACTGAGTTTTCCGTTGTGGATCTGCTGACACGTGACAGGCATTGTCATATAGCCATCGGCTGGATGAGGTTGGTGAGGATTTGGACACTGTACGCGATGGTGTTGCAGTAGTTTCCAAATGACTTCTCAGTCAACGCTGTCTGTTGAAGGCCCTTTGTTCGAAGTCGATGAAGTTGAGATGGAGAGAGATTTGACTGGCACTCTATGCTTTGTTCAGTGATGATGATGATGCGCAGAGTTGCAATTTGACCAGCACATGATGATTTGGCTTTCGTGAATCCAGCTTTTTGTGGTAGAGCTGGAGTAGTTCTGCATCCCGTGCGTCTTTTATTCTCTCCAGGATGACGTTACCTAGTATCTTACATGGCGTTTAGTGTTTCATCCAATCAGTATACACCCTCCTTCACTGAAAACCATATGCAAAAATGGCGTGATCATATCGGCTGCAGTCTCTTGTTGTCTGTTCACTGCTTCGAGTTGGGGAATTCCGTTTGATCCTGCTGTCTTCTCGCCTGACTGTAATCAACTTGACAGCAATCAAGATTTCCGCTTTCCTCGATTGATTTGTGTCCACTGGCAGGCAGTTGTGTGCGTGCTGTTGGCGGCGGTGGCGGTATTTCGGTGTGAGTTGCAGGTGATGGTCTACTTGAGAGTTATTTGAAGTGACCAACCCATTGTGTATTTTTGATATAAGTATATAACTTGGGCACTGTGGTAGAGCATAACTTCACTAGAGGTAACATTTTATTTTGATAAATCACGCAGTGTCATGCAGTAATATTAACTGATGACGTTTCTAGCACAAACCGTTGCTCATAACCATATCACGTCACTCACACAATCTCTATTCCCTGGTAATTAGGTTCCGTTGACCATCTGGTATAGGTTTCTCCAGTGTTGATGTTTGCCGGATAGAAACGAGGTTGTCTGGTTTAACTTTCTTAGGTCTCATTTAATGCATCATAATGACTCTAGCTCATCTTACAAGTGAATGTTGCAACTTCTCATGTTACTGTTATTTATCCTCTTTAACTGAATTCATTTTCAAGCCTTCTTGTTTGTTTATTTCTTTGTTGAAATGATGAATAATTTGTACTTGACGTGTGCGTTCATAACCATGTGTTTTACACCTTTCAATTCTTCTTCTTCTTCACTCTTCCTGTCATATTATGTTCTCATTGACTCTGGCTATTCGGTCATCTCTATATCAGCTGCCTTTCATCAGCGACTTATCATCCACTTGTGAAGTGACGTTTATAACTGTTTTCGTAATTCGAACAGCACATAAGTACTTTACGTGTTTGAACTTACAATGACCAATGTAAGTATCACTCCGAGCAGCTAGATAAAACCTTCAGACATCTTTATTCTTGCTTTCTTAGGAGTACTCGAGGGGAACGGAACCATTATATTGTTACACGTCCCATGTGTTCAGAGTGGAAGATAGTTTTTCAGTGGCACACCGCCATCACCATCAGCTAAATGAGATTAGATTCAGCAGGATACTAGAGAGTCCACTAGCTTGTATTTCCTCCTTACACGATCGAATTCTTGTTACAACACTATTTTCAATGAGCTGCTGACGATAAAAGTACCAGTCAAGTGACTATTATTGTGAAATCGATCAAAGGTTTCCAAAAGGGCGGAAAGAGAAAACACGCACGCTGACTGGCTTCCCGAATTCTTCCATCAGACCGCGCCATTTCGTAACTCCGACTTCAGTGAAGAATAAGTTTATGTCTGATACTCATCGTGCACTAACTTGCTACTGAACTGAAGCGCCGGGATAGAGTCACACGAACGATCTGCTCAATTTTTTTTTGTGCTTAGGACCGGCCAGTATACTAGGCGAGGTTTTTAAGTGCGGACAGTTGTATATTTGTAATTCTCTTGCCTTTTGACTTGAATCTTGCTGTCTTGACCCTAGAAGCCATTGATTCAAACTGCATGGGACAGTTTGATGCTGTTGGAGACACTATGACAGCCATTTCATCAATGTGCTCGAGGTTGTTGCTTGAGTGACGGAAGTGGATTATTGAATATCCGGACGACAATTTGGACAGTCCATTTTCATTCCATCTACTATTCCATCACAGATTCCTAAGCCATCTACAGCATTTCTTTTCATTTTTTCTACATATGGAGCTGTCTTTCCAGTCTTAGACATATTGTGAAAATTAAATGTTGCCGTGCTCAATTCGCTTTCATCGAAACAGGAAACATCGGCCAACTGCATTCTAGAAGGCTTCCACTGGCCAGTGTAATCTGTATGTACATTCATCAACCTCTGCGATTCCAGCGAAGAATGGGTTTGTTTGCAATGTGTTTAGGTGATGATATTGTGTTTCGCCTGATCTGGTTGTTAGCCACACGTGAAACCCTAACTCTCTTCCGGACTTGAGACCACCTAATGAGTGGGATGTGGCTATTTTTAAAAGTTTCAGCAGTGTCTAATCGACCATGGCGTTCAGGAAAGTGAAGTTTCCTAGTCTTCGCCGATACACTGCGTAATGCAGTTGTTTTCAACTTCCGTATCGCCTTTTGATTATCAGGAATGAACACTGGTTGAATTCTGTCAGTTCTGATAGTAACTGTTGCATTTAGTTGTTTGATTGTTATGACTTTGTCACTTTCGCCTAGGACCGTGTGATGGCAGTTTTATGCAGAGATGCAATCGTTTCTGTGAAAAACATGAGTAAAATTTGATTGTTTCAACACCACACTTTGTTGTTCACACCTCATGGAGCGTGATTAACTGGAGTGAATAACTCTCCTGATAATCGTAACATTATCTGCTAGAGTAGGTCGATGGCTCAGCATGCTGTATATTTGTTCACGATATTCTCTATTCCTAGCGAGATTGATGATGGTTTGGTAGAACAGTCGGTGTTGGTTGGGTTGGCCTAACACTCAACCGTGATTTGCCGATGAAGTCGTTTTATCATTTAGTTAGAAAGAGATGTTGTGAAGTGCTGTGGACGCATTGAGTCTTTGGCATTTCAGAGAGTTGTGGTAGTTGATAACTTTCAAAATATACACACGGCAGTGGGTTTTTATTGCTACAAGAATTGCGAAGTTCGGCACTCACTTTTCCATCAGGGCTTTATGCAACGATTCAGCTGAAATATCTGCCAATCAGTGGATCTGTCGATGTATAACAGAATGTAGTTAAAAGTGTTAGAAGGACTGAGTGGGCCAAAGGTGGTGATGTGTATATGCTCGAATTTTCAGTCGGAATTAAGAATATGACTGAGTAAAGTGTCCATTTTGGTACCCATTCTGACTGACTGACTGACTGACTGAAGAAATGAATTGACGCACAGTTTTGCGAATCATTAGCAGGGTTCGTCCATACAGGCCTCTTTAGGCAACCAGACAGTATCACTGATTCCAGGATGGAATAGGTTATTTGCTTTGCATGTTTTCCAACTGCAGAGTAGCCATCATATACGACCTTAACTTTGTCAAACGAAGTGTCCGTAAACAGTAGGAAGACTGTAAACCTGGAGGGTCTTGATGATAGATATAAGTGCAGATGGTGTTGGTGATATGAATGACAAACATCCGCAGTTTCATTATTGCTACTTCAGGAGGTGAATTAAAACATGAGCTGGAGCTATTGTACTGCATTGAATGAATAATTATGTTGCTTGACTGACATGGCTTTGATTATTATTTCGAAATCCACACAAATCATAGGATACATGACTTTTCGGAATGAGGCAGTCACTCTACCAAACTATCTAGAGAGCATGTGAGAATGACTGAGCAACTCTGAATAGATGCGGATACTGGTCTTCTCCACTTACGTGTCATAACAAGGAGCTGACAGCGTCATTCATGGAGTCCATCGCGGAAAACAGAGTAGGTTCACCAAGTCGTTTGGATAGGTGTCTTCTCAGTCAAACATCGCCTAGAATTTTTTCACAGTAGGAAATCTCCAAATGACGAATGGAAGAAAACTGTTTCGTTTCGCTTAATTAGTCGTTTGATGGCTGCGAAACGGTAGTTCACTTGTGAACAAGGGCTTCACCAGCTCCCGAGAGCTATGTAATTTGTTAAGTGAATCAGCGGACGGGTAGTCCCAGACAGCTCTTCCTTTGCGGAATCTGGTTGTATTTCTCGGCTGTTAATCAGGTCTCTGAGTGACTTCAACGATCTTCACCTGCATTCTCGTCTTGTAAAGCTTAGCTGACACT